AGGCACGTCTTGAGGAGGAGGAAGAAATAAAGGCACGTCTTGAGGAGGAAGAAATAAAAGCACGTCTTGAGGAGGAAAAAGAAATAAAGGCACGTCTTGAGGAGGCACGGCAAAAACTTGATGAGGAGTTAAAGGCCCAACAAAAGATTGAGGAAGAAAAAGATCGACTGTTACTGGAAGAAGAAAAGATACAGGACCTTGAAAAATTAAAAGAAGAGCAACAAAGAACAGAGGAAGAAGAATTGAAAGGACAACAACAAATAATCGAAAAAGAAGAGCATCCATATAAACATATGGAAGAATCGAAAAGACAACTCAGAACAGAGGAAGAAGAATTGAAAGGACAACAACAAATGATCGAAGGGGAAGAGCATCCATATAAACATATGGAAGAATTGAAAGGACAACAAAGAACAGAGGAAGAAGAATTGAAAGGACAACAACAAATAATCGAAGAGGAAGAACATCCATATAAACATATGGAAGAATTAAAAGAACAACAGCTTAGAATAGGATCCGACGATAATAATCTTATATCTGTAGGCATAAAGAGACAGCACTGTCTCGATGATATTCTCAATGATGCTCATGAAGTCAAGAGAGTTTCTAAGAAAGCCCGCACACAAGATTATTACAGTGACGATAATCTATTAGTAACTTCTGCGAACAATTGTAGTGATGAAAACAGTTTCAGTGTTAATGAGAATATCGATTTTCCCAGTAACAAAGAAATCGACAGAAGGGGGATATATATATCACAAAACGATGATGATAAGCCTTTAGAACAAGAAATTACCAACGATAACCAGCATAATCACTCAATGAACAATAGTCTTGATAAGAGTATAAATTCAATTTCTACGTGTAGTAATATTAATAAAGGTGAAGAAAATTCTTTGGAAAGCAAAAGTGAGAATTATATAACCGAAATCCAAGGGTCGAGAATGCCGTTTGATCCTGTACGAGATGCTCAGAATGTCGATATGAACCAAGATATGGTATATTCTTACACAACACCTAATACGATGCCTGATGATGAGAATACTTACAATCAGCATCCATTGTATTCTAGACCGGCTGAAACATTAGAGGTTAATAACAATGCAGAAACTTTGGTAAACGAAGCTATACAGCCCGAAGAGTGCCATATTGAACAAATCGCAGGTTCTCATCTTAACCTTCTCATGCAAGCAGTCGGTCTTTTAGAAGCAGGGGTATCATCATTACCTGAAGATTTGTAAATATTTGCGGATAGTCGGATCCGTTTAACTATCCGATACATCAATTGATAATAATTATTAGTAAATGACATTTATAAATGACATACAGTACCTGTCTAAATTCATAGGGCGATGGACTAATTTTGTATTCATTTAGACATTTGCAAAGAGTCATGTGATATAGAAATATTAATAAAATTTTTATAGTCTATAACTTTTGTCAATTAGATTGTATAATATTTATGCATACAAAAATTTTAAATTTATTAAAATTTTTTATAAATGAATATTTAATAAGGTGGTTTTATTAGTTAATTGATTTTAGTTTTTGCTCATCTTGGTAAACGCGAATTTTTCTTGATTTTTTGAGACAGTTAATATAGATAAATTTTTTTTTTTTTGTAATTAAATAATAATACAATTAAAAAATAACAAAAGTTAGATAATTATTATATAACTACTTTAGGATTTTGATTTGACAACTCTAGAGTTAGTTATTTAATATACTTAAATCACATGAATAACAACTAAATTATATTATATAATTTAAGTAATATTTTTTTTAAAGTAATATACAAAATTATTACAAAAATAATTTCTTACTGTTTTTGATTATATAATAAATATATACTAGTAACTAGTTATATATAACTTGTTAGCAAAATCTTAAACTATTATAAAATTAGTTTGTTCACGTTCAAATTCCAAATTCTGTTTAAATTCATATCTCAAAAATTTAATTAATAATCCTTATTCAAACTCATATTATATATTTCTATAGTTATATATAATATATTAGCAAAATTTTAATACTATTTTTTTTTTTTTTAACTTAGATGATCTTGTTTATCATTTTATTAAGAATAAGCTAATATAAGCTACAAAGTAAAATGCTATACTATTTATTACAAATACTCTTCTAAAACTATTCTGGATTTACTTAGCTACCTTTAGATATCTAAATATGATCTGTTATAGTAACTGTTTCTCTTGTGAAAGCTCATATCTGTTAAAACAGATATTAAGTTTTTAGTCAACAAGAAGTTGTTACTAGCCTATATCAAGAATTATCTATTTTGTTTTAATTTGTAACTACTCTTTTTTATCACCTGTTCTAACTCATCTATTAACTCTGCTAAGAATTTCTTTTTGTATTCTTGTTTTTTTTTTATTTTTAGATTCTTTTTCTGTATTTAAAAAAGTTATGTTTTTCTTGTTTTTCTTCTTCTTTTTATTTATTTTTATTTTTTTTTTTATCGATATATTATCTTCTTTCTTTTATTGACTATAGCTTCAAATTAGAACTTTTATAAATATTTGTAGAAACAAGTTCAGAAGTATTCAATAAAGTTTGTAAATACTCTACTTGTTTTGCTTTTTGATTGAGTTACCTTGCTAGTATTTGTAAGCTGCTTTCTATTAGTAAACTCTCTAAGATATATCTTTTTAAGTTTTAGCTTCTCTTCTAGTTTTCTTCTATATAAAGCTTCTCTTAATGATACTTCTTCAAGTAACAAGTTTAGTTTTATTAAAACTTCTAATCTTATAAGTTACAAGATTTCTTTTTCTAGGTTTTTTTAAATTTTTTGATATATTTTGTATTTAGCTAAGTAGTACATAGTTTCATCTACTCTAAAGCAAGCTATGCATCTTCAACTTTTGTATAATTTAAGATTTTTAAGATAGCAAATATCTTTAGTAGATAATAAGCTATTTATATATTTGATATGAAACATAAATACTCTACTTTTTTTTGAGGCTTATATATTTTTTTCCTTGCAGATTTTTAAATATTTTCTATGTATTTTTCTAGTTTAATTTATTATCAAAGTTGGTTTCAAAGTTCAGTATTATGATTATAGCTATTTTGCTTAAATTTGCCTATTCAGTTTTATAAACTGTTGCTAAAATTATATTTATAAAAGATTTGAGTAAGCATTCTATTATATGATATTTTTATTTAGGTATAACTATTAGGTTATCTAAAGTAGTTTCAAGAACTGTTAGCAGATTAGAGCTTTTTATTTTTTCTTTTGCTAACTTGTCTGCTTGCTCATTCTACTGTTACTACTATGACCCTTAACCTTATGTAGTAATAGATTCAGGTTTTTGGCTTTGTAATAGTCCTTGATTTATCTCAATAAGCTTCTGTTTTTTGTCTTAAACCAACTTTGTAGCTTGCTTTCTTTTGTATACTTTTTAATAGCTTCAATTGCTGTTTTGCTATCTGTAAATACATGAATCTGAGCCTTATATAATGCTATCAAAAAGGCTACTCAAATTATACAAAAGCTAAAAATATATAGCTTGTTTTAAAGAGAATAAAACTATATACTATCTAGCTAAATATGAAATATATTAAAAAATCTAAAAAAACCTTGAGAAGAAAACCTTGTAACTTACAAGGTTAGAAGCTTTAACAAAACTAAACTTATTATTTGAGGAAGTATTACTGAGAGAAGCTTTATACAGAAAAGAATCCAAAGAAAGGCTAAAGTTTAAAAGGATATATTTCAAAGATTTTACTAATAGAAAGTAGCTTGCAAATAGGAGCAAAGTAACTTAATCTAAGAGTAAGATAAATAGAGTACTTATAAGCTTTATCAAATATTTCTAAACTTGTTTCTATGAATGATTATAGAAGTTCTAATATAAAGTTATAGCAGAATAGAAAAATAAAAATAATATATCAACAAAAGAAAAAATAAAAGACAAAAAAAAGAAAGAAAACAAAGAAAACATAACTCTTCTAAACATGAAAAAAAAATCAAAAAATAAAAAAGAAACAAGAATACAAAAAGAAGCTCTTAGTAAAGTTGATAAGTAGGTTAGAACAGATAGTAAGAAGAGTAGTTATAGATTAAAACAAAATGAATAATTCTTAATATAGGCTAGTAATAGCTTTTTGTCGACTAGAAACTTAGTATTTGTTTATGCAGATATGAGTTTTTACAAAAGAAATAGTTGCTATAACAGATTACACTTAAGTACCTAAAGATAGCTAAGTGAGTCTAAAATAGTTTTTAAAGAGTATTTGTTATAGTTAATATAGTATTTTACTTTGTAGCTTATATTAGCTTATTCTTAATAAAATAATAAATAAGATTATTTAAATTAAAAAAAAAATAAATAAATATTTATATTAATTCAAAAAGATAATACCAGGAAAAATGTAGAGTACAGAAAGCTCTAGATACTTTATTCAAAAGTTAACAAAAGAATATGGGCGAGAAATTATCTAAGAGGGCAGCGTATCAGTACTAGGATTAGCAGATCACTTTGATGAAATAGTAGCGAAAGCTATGAATGTAGATAAGAATATTATTACCTTAGCAAGGCAATGGCGTATTGCACTAGAAAGAGCTACTTTTACAGAAGGAGTAGACAAAGTTAAAGA